TGAATATCAAATCAAATTTATTTCTCTCACGCTTTGTCTTATATATTATAATAAATAAACTGTTTTCCATTACTTGAATGTTTGAAAAGAGAACTAAACTTGGTAATCATCACATCTAATACGCAACTTGAATTTGTAATAACAAAATATTTATTTGAATCTCAAATCAAATTTATTTCTTTCAGTGTCTTATATATTATAATAAATAAACTGTTTTCGGTTACTTTCAATTGAATGTTTCAAAAGAGAACTAAAATTGGTAATCATCACATCCAATACGCAACTTGAATTTGTAATAACAAATTATTCAATTGAATCTCAAATCAAAGTTATTTCTCTCAAACACTTAGTCCTTACAAAGTCTCCGGACAAGAAAAAGTGCTAGAAGGATATTAAATACAGACATTAAGCAGTTTTACTATAAAACTGCTCATTGTTGTCTACCCTATTCGTAAATATGTCTAATGATCTCTGATCTTGTTTCTATTTATCGTACCACAGATCTTTATTAATGTGAATATCAAAACATAAAAAATATATGATTCAAAGTCACTGAAGCATATTATCTCTATTATTGATATCAAGTTCATTAAATCGTTTATAAAAATTTTAGTAAAAGAAAATTTGTCCTCATTTTTTCTTAGCAGTATAAAAAAGATATAAATATTAAGCCATAATTTTAGTAAAGAGATGTTTACTAATGACATAATATTAAAGATAGCAACTACATCCAAGCCATTCATAATGCCTCCTAAAACAGACAGTAAAACATCCAATCAAACTACACATCCACTCGACAACATGGACAAATTCCTTATTTAAAGTAATAAACATTTCTTCCTCTACATTCTTCCTCTGCAACATAGATTATGAAAATTTAAGAGCTGGGCTTCAGTGTGTTCCCAATGTCAATAACAAATCGATATTTGACATCTGCTTTGACGAGACGCTGCATTGCCGTGTTTACATAATCAACAGGAATAATCTCAATGTCAGGCTGTATATCGTGTTTGGCACAATAATTAAGCATCTCTTGAGTCTCCTTTATTCCTCCAATGTTACTGGCAGCAACACTCTTTCTCGCTGCAAACCAAACACAATAGTACGTCTTTAAGAAAAATAAAATATATTTTTTCATGAACTATATTTACAAGATAATTTTACATCTAATTTATACTTGCGTAAAGGTTCTTTATACAAGTGTAATCATTTTTCATGTGCATGCATACCTAGTAAAGGAAAGATGGGTAGCTCCAAAGGCTTATCAGGTACACCAACTATGACAAGTTTCCCATGACTCTTCAACAAATCCAACAGAGGGAGCAGAGGATGGACTGCAGAAACTGTGTCTATTATACCATCCAGGGTGCCCTTTGCAGCCTGAACAGAAAAAATGGCACTTAGAAGTTAAACAATAACTTTTCCTCACAGACACAAACTAAACCGTATTAAAAAAACTCAAAATAATAAAAAGCAGATTTTTCAACAAACTACTTTCATAAAATAATTGTAGAAAGGTTCAGAAAGGGAAAGTTAAAGTACCTCCAACTCCTCTGGATTACGACTGACCAAAAATGAATCAGCTCCAAGATGCTCAATAGCTTCCTTCTTTTTGTTTGGAGATGTGCTGATTACAGTGACCTTAGCTCCAAAAGCTTTGGCAAACTTAACAGCCATATGACCAAGGCCACCAAGACCAACCACACCCACATGCAGGCCTGGTTTGTCTATTCCAAAATATCGGAGAGGGCTATAAACTGTGATCCCAGCACATAAGAGAGGACCAGCAGCCTCAAGAGGTAGGTTATCAGGAATGCTGATCACAAAGTGTTCATCTACAACCACCAGATCAGAGTAGCCTCCTTGTGTGATGCTCCCATCAAGATCCTTCGCTCCATAAGTCTGAATCGTTTTTGAGCAGTAATTCTCAAGATCCTCTTCGCAGCTTTTGCACGACCTACAGGAATTAACCATGCACCCCACACCCACCCTATCTCCCACCTTGTGCTTCTGTACCTTGCTTCCAACCTCTATCACTTCACCGGCAATCTCGTGCCTACGTTTTGGAGCTTAAATTAGAATTCAATCTATCATTAACACTAATAACTTGTCAATGATAAACAACAAATAACATCTTTTATTGAAAAGGTAGCTAACTATTTATCAAATAACTAGTCTGCATGAAAGGTGTTTGTTTTCCAACTTACCGTTTAGCATATCTACGGCTTCGTCTAAACAGCAGATCTATTGTCTTAGGCGTTTTATATTTATATAACTTTGCATGGTTATCTTGCAGTGACTTCAAAAAATTCTTGTTTCTTCTTTCTGTGTGTGCACCCTCAAAATTTGAGTTAAAGCTTAGTCATTTTATTTCATATTTTGAAAATCACACTAGAAATTGATTATATGAACAAATTTCCAGAACTGTTTCTTGTTTCAGAAATCGAAGGTAAAAGTTAAGACAGCATCTAGTGTTTAAAACATATACGTGAAAAAGAGTAAGAGGCTTACCCGGGTATCAGTGGATAAGTGGACTCACCCCAGTCACTCCTAATAACGTGGAGGTCAGTGTGGCATATACCACAGAATAACACTTTGATTGCCACATCTTTCTCTCCTGTCTCCCTGCACCATTAGAAAACAGAACATCAGAAGCGTGAACTACTTCTAAAGTTGAGGAATTGAAGAGCTTGAAATGAATACCTTCTGGTAAAGTCGAAGGGGGAGAGAACCCCAGATTTGTCTCTAGCAGCCCATCCAAAAGCATTCCTAGAATGCTCCAGTCCTGGTGTTGCAGCCATCTGAATGTGTTGGACTCTAGAATTGTGAACACTCTGTAGCAGCCTGTGCGTAATTAAAGGCACCAGCGCTCAGAGATATGTGAGATATGTGGTTCATAGTCTTCTCTCGTACGCAATTATTATTTATGAGGCCACGTGGTGGGGACACTGCTCTCTATTCTTTTCATGCTTTCTCTTTTTTTTTTATTAGGCACGTATCATATAAAGAAATACACTTAAATTTTTTTCCTTCTGTGGTATTATCTTTTATTTTTTTTTCTTTCTTAAAAATATAAAAGTCTATATTTTTATAATCATTTTATTATGTATCAAATGGATATAAAAATATGTTTTATATTGTGTTATTCCTCTGAAAAGAAATGCACTATGTCAAATTCATTATGAAGTATGTGTATGGTTGAGATTGTGAAGATTATACACGTTGGTATCAATCAAGCGGTATACATGGTTATAAAATATCTTATTTTTTGGTATTTGGTCGCATTGAATATAATACTCAACCAAGTTGGACTTCAGTGTTAAGTACCTTATCTAACTGAGAATCCAATCAGAAGAGTCTGGAACTCAACAACTATTGGTGTTTTTCTTACACGTGTCTACTGATGGAGACATTGGATCTGGACATTATAATTTTATTTTTAAAAACATTCAATTCTACATATAGATCATTTTTTAAATTAAAAATATTTATTAAATTTACAATAAAATATCGTTAAATAAAAACTCTGGAGCTTTCCGTATCTTTAGTTACCCACACTGTTCACGTGATTCATTGAGATGTCAAAACTCANTGTTATTCCTCTGAAAAGAAATGCACTATGTCAAATTCATTATGAAGTATGTGTATGGTTGAGATTGTGAAGATTATACACGTTGGTATCAATCAAGCGGTATACATGGTTATAAAATATCTTATTTTTTGGTATTTGGTCGCATTGAATATAATACTCAACCAAGTTGGACTTCAGTGTTAAGTACCTTATCTAACTGAGAATCCAATCAGAAGAGTCTGGAACTCAACAACTATTGGTGTTTTTCTTACACGTGTCTACTGATGGAGACATTGGATCTGGACATTATAATTTTATTTTTAAAAACATTCAATTCTACATATAGATCATTTTTTAAATTAAAAATATTTATTAAATTTACAATAAAATATCTTTAAATAAAAACTCTGGAGCTTTCCGTATCTTTAGTTACCCACACTGTTCACGTGATTCATTGAGATGTCAAAACTCAAAGGGTAAAAATTAAAGACAGACTAATAAAGTAAAACAAAATATAGTTGTTTATATAACAAAATATAGAAATGAATTAAAGCTTGTAATAATTTATTCGATATGATACCATACAAATATATTATAATTTGATAATTTAAAAAATTATTAAAGTAATTTTACATTGAAGTTTAAATATGATTGGATATAAATATTTAAATATCTAAAGGAGGTATCATAAATTTAAAAGGGTTAAATATGTTTTTAGTCACTAAATTATTGGCCGTTTCTGGTTTTCGTCCCTCTTTCAAAGTAAGGTACAATTTGGTCCTGTTCGTTTTAGTTCTCGAAAACTAAACACTGTTTAAAAATTTTGGTTCTCATTTAGCAATAAATGAGAACTAAAACCAAAATTCCGAGGAATAAAACGAACATTTCGAAAAGAATGAAAACCAAATTGTACCTTAATTTGAAAGAGGGACGAAAATCAGAAACGATCAATAATTTAGGGAGAAAAACATATTTAACCCAATTTAAAAATAGTTTTGATATTAGAAAAATAATACATATTGGTGGATACTGTTTCTGTCTCTAAGGACAAGACGACAAGCTGAAAAGCAACAAGTAATTAATACTTTGCTCGGATATCAAGATATGCTTGTATTAAAGAATGAAAATAGAATAAAATAAATTATTGGAAATGAGAAGAAACTAAAGAATATAAAAACAATTATAATAAATTTGATTGATAATGTGATAAAAACAATTATCTATATATTAAGATATTTAAAAAATATATTTTTTAAATAATTTATCGTAAATTTTAAAAATATAAACTAAAAAAATTAATAAAAGAAAATTTCATTTTGAAATAAAAAATACTAAAGTATCAAAACTCAAATTAACTAATATTATTGTATTAAGTAATTTAATATTTTAATTCGTTTATTTAAATATAAAGATATTAAAAATAATTAATTTTATTAAAATATAATCAATTATTTTCAATTTCTTCCCATAAGTATTCTCTCACATTAAAGAAAGTTTATATTTAGAAATGATTTTAGTCTTTTTCAAATTTATAATATTTATGTCTTCATTTTTTTCTAACTTTATATGGGGAAAATAAATATATGTTCTACTAAAAAGAAGAAAAATCACGTAAGTTTGTAAAATCTTAAGAATGATTTAAATAATATGACATGCTTTAANAACAATGACATGTTTCCCACCAGTCTTCAACAAATCAACCAGAGGGACCAGAGAGTGAACTGCAGACACTGTGTCTATTATACCATCCAGGGTGCCCTTTGCAGCCTGAACAGAAAAAATGGCACTTAGAAGTTAAACAATAACTTTTCCTCACAGACACAAACTAAACCGTATTAAAAAAACTCAAAATAATAAAAAGCAGATTTTTCAACAAACTACTTTCATAAAATAATTGTAGAAAGGTTCAGAAAGGGAAAGTTAAAGTACCTCCAACTCCTCTGGATTACGACTGACCAAAAATGAATCAGCTCCAAGATGCTCAATAGCTTCCTTCTTTTTGTTTGGAGATGTGCTGATTACAGTGACCTTAGCTCCAAAAGCTTTGGCAAACTTAACAGCCATATGACCAAGGCCACCAAGACCAACCACACCCACATGCAGGCCTGGTTTGTCTATTCCAAAATATCGGAGAGGGCTATAAACTGTGATCCCAGCACATAAGAGAGGACCAGCAGCCTCAAGAGGCAGGTTATCAGGAATGCTGATCACAAAGTGTTCATCTACAACCACCAGATCAGAGTAGCCTCCTTGTGTGATGCTCCCATCAAGATCCTTCGCTCCATAAGTCTGAATCGTTTTTGAGCAGTAATTCTCAAGATCCTCGTCGCAGCTTTTGCACGACCTACAGGAATTAACCATGCACCCCACACCCACCCTATCTCCCACCTTGTGCTTCTGTACCTTGCTTCCAACCTCTATCACTTCACCGGCAATCTCGTGCCTACGTTTTGGAGCTTAAATTAGAATTCAATCTATCATTAACACTAATAACTTGTCAATGATAAACAACAAATAACATCTTTTATTGAAAAGGTAGCTAACTATTTATCAAATAACTAGTCTGCATGAAAGGTGTTTGTTTTCCAACTTACCGTTTAGCATATCTACGGCTTCGTCTAAACAGCAGATCTATTGTCTTAGGCGTTTTATATTTATATAACTTTGCATGGTTATCTTGCAGTGACTTCAAAAAAATCTTGTTTCTTCTTTCTGTGTGTGCACCCTCAAAATTTGAGTTAAAGCTTAGTCATTTTATTTCATATTTTGAAAATCACACTAGAAATTGATTATATGAACAAATTTCCAGAACTGTTTCTTGTTTCAGAAATCGAAGGTAAAAGTTAAGACAGCATCTAGTGTTTAAAACATATACGTGAAAAAGAGTAAGAGGCTTACCCGGGTATCAGTGGATAAGTGGACTCACCCCAGTCACTCCTAATAACGTGGAGGTCAGTGTGGCATATACCACAGAATAACACTTTGATTGCCACATCTTTCTCTCCTGTCTCCCTGCACCATTAGAAAACAGAACATCAGAAGCGTGAACTACTTCTAAAGTTGAGGAATTGAAGAGCTTGAAATGAATACCTTCTGGTAAAGTCGAAGGGGGAGAGAACCCCAGATTTGTCTCTAGCAGCCCATCCAAAAGCATTCCTAGAATGCTCCAGTCCTGGTGTTGCAGCCATCTGAATGTGTTGGACTCTAGAATTGTGAACACTCTGTAGCAGCCTGTGCGTAATTAAAGGCACCAGCGCTCAGAGATATGTGAGATATGTGGTTCATAGTCTTCTCTCGTACGCAATTATTATTTATGAGGCCACGTGGTGGGGACACTGCTCTCTATTCTTTTCATGCTTTCTCTTTTTTTTTTATTAGGCACGTATCATATAAAGAAATACACTTAAATTTTTTACCTTCTGTGGTATTATCTTTTATTTTTTTTTCTTTCTTAAAAATATAAAAGTCTATATTTTTATAATCATTTTATTATGTATCAAATGGATATAAAAATATGTTTTATATTGTGTTATTCCTCTGAAAAGAAATGCACTATGTCAAATTCATTATGAAGTATGTGTATGGTTGAGATTGTGAAGATTATACACGTTGGTATCAATCAAGCGGTATACATGGTTATAAAATATCTTATTTTTTGGTATTTGGTCGCATTGAATATAATACTCAACCAAGTTGGACTTCAGTGTTAAGTACCTTATCTAACTGAGAATCCAATCAGAAGAGTCTGGAACTCAACAACTATTGGTGTTTTTCTTACACGTGTCTACTGATGGAGACATTGGATCTGGACATTATAATTTTATTTTTAAAAACATTCAATTCTACATATAGATCATTTTTTAAATTAAAAATATTTATTAAATTTACAATAAAATATCGTTAAATAAAAACTCTGGAGCTTTCCGTATCTTTAGTTACCCACACTGTTCACGTGATTCATTGAGATGTCAAAACTCAAAGGGTAAAAATTAAAGACAGACTAATAAAGTAAAACAAAATATAGTTGTTTATATAACAAAATATAGAAATGAATTAAAGCTTGTAATAATTTATTCGATATGATACCATACAAATATATTATAATTTGATAATTTAAAAAATTATTAAAGTAATTTTACATTGAAGTTTAAATATGATTGGATATAAATATTTAAATATCTAAAGGAGGTATCATAAATTTAAAAGGGTTAAATATGTTTTTAGTCACTAAATTATTGGCCGTTTCTGGTTTTCGTCCCTCTTTCAAAGTAAGGTACAATTTGGTCCTGTTCGTTTTAGTTCTCGAAAACTAAACACTGTTTAAAAATTTTGGTTCTCATTTAGCAATAAATGAGAACTAAAACCAAAATTCCGAGGAATAAAACGAACATTTCGAAAAGAATGAAAACCAAATTGTACCTTAATTTGAAAGAGGGACGAAAATCAGAAACGATCAATAATTTAGGGAGAAAAACATATTTAACCCAATTTAAAAATAGTTTTGATATTAGAAAAATAATACATATTGGTGGATACTGTTTCTGTCTCTAAGGACAAGACGACAAGCTGAAAAGCAACAAGTAATTAATACTTTGCTCGGATATCAAGATATGCTTGTATTAAAGAATGAAAATAGAATAAAATAAATTATTGGAAATGAGAAGAAACTAAAGAATATAAAAACAATTATAATAAATTTGATTGATAATGTGATAAAAACAATTATCTATATATTAAGATATTTAAAAAATATATTTTTTAAATAATTTATCGTAAATTTTAAAAATATAAACTAAAAAAATTAATAAAAGAAAATTTCATTTTGAAATAAAAAATACTAAAGTATCAAAACTCAAATTAACTAATATTATTGTATTAAGTAATTTAATATTTTAATTCGTTTATTTAAATATAAAGATATTAAAAATAATTAATTTTATTAAAATATAATCAATTATTTTCAATTTCTTCCCATAAGTATTCTCTCACATTAAAGAAAGTTTATATTTAGAAATGATTTTAGTCTTTTTCAAATTTATAATATTTATGTCTTCATTTTTTTCTAACTTTATATGGGGAAAATAAATATATGTTCTACTAAAAAGAAGAAAAATCACGTAAGTTTGTAAAATCTTAAGAATGATTTAAATAATATGACATGCTTTAAAAAATTACATATAATATCATAGATTATTTTTAATTTAGCAAAAATAATATAGTCGATTATGTAACACATAATCAATTATTATCGATTACAAAATTGGTAATAATTGAGAAATCTTGTTTCTTCGTAAATTTTCACAGTTATACGAAAAAGATAATTACAAAAATTTTACATCATTTTCCACTTTTTAATATTTTTTCTTCATTGGATTTCTATTTTTTCTCTTCGTTTATTTCTTTAAGCTTTTCTTTATAAGTCAGCCCTTTGAAAGAAGTAAATATAATAATATTTTATTATAATAATTAATGATTTTTAATATAATGCATTATTATTATTATTATTTTAACACTTTGTTAATATTTATATTATAATGAAATAATAAATTAAATATATTAAATTAATTTCAAATTTACTATTTATGTTAATTAATTAATTTTAATAAATTTTAATTTTAAAATATAATTTTTATCTATTAAAATTTTATAATAAATTTTCATTTAAAAAATTAAACTTTATTTGAATTCTATATTTTAAATAATTTTTCAATTTTAAATTATTTTCAAAATATTAATTTAAAAATTATTTTCTAAATATATTATAAAACATATTCTATTACATTAATTAAATTAGTTGCAATCTTTTCTATATTTCTCATTTTTATTGTCTTTTTCTTAATATGAATTATTTTTTTCTCTTTCTTCCATCTTGTTAATGAAAATAAGTACATTGCACATTTGTCATTGTTAAGACAATGTTTGGATTGCAATGAAAATTTAAAAAAGAATGACTATTATATTTTCAAAAAGATTATATTTTTAAGAAATCTGAATTGATGAATGAAAGAATTTGATGAGGAACTTTATGAAAATTTCTTATTAGTACGATAGATTAAAAAGTGTTTTAATAGGTAAAGTTAAATAATTAATATTTTATTTTTACAAATATATATAATATAAAATTAAATATAAATAATAAAAACTATGTTAGGATAAAATTAAAATTATTATTTAAAATTACATAAATAATACTATTATAATCATAAATATTATTATTGATATATAATAAAAAATTATATATACTAGAAAAAAAATCAATTCTATAAATTACAAAAATATTATTATTATAATTATAATAATTATTGTTAAAAATAGTTTGTATTATTAAAAAATTGAAAAGAAAAAATACTTTTAAAATAACACTATAATCTTAAAAGATTTTATCTGGATGTCAAGTCATGGTATAAGCATTAGTTTATCCTAGACCCAAAGCCTATATTCGTCTGAAAAAAATAAATTTGTGAATTTTATAATTTGTTAAAGATTTTGTTGCATACGTCTCTGTACTCTTTTTTGTCGCTACAATTTTGTGTTTTCTTAGTCTTTTTTAAGGTTCATTTTTATTTTTATTAATGTTTATCTTTCTTTTTATTTCTCATCTATCTCTTCATTTCATTCTTGTTTTTATCTTTCTTCTCTTAATATTATTTTTATTTTAGTTTTTGTATTGTTGTTGCACTTTTGGTGGTTATACCGTATGATCACTCGATCAACATAAGATCAAATGGTCATATAGTTAATCACCCTAATGATTATCTTGAGATTGGACCTTGATAAACTGTAGGTCGAATGGTCACCCTTCAAGGCAAGTATATCTAATTCTGATTAACTTACAGCCAAACATTATTTGTACCAATTGGGTCACAATTTGATCGTCAATAATCCAAAGCCCATTCTGAAATCTATAAATACATGTTTCAGGTAAAGTGGTAGGTTACTGCATTTATTACGCATTAATTATTAAAATTGTCACATCTTTACTAACTTTGACATCAGAGTACCTTTTATAGGTAACCTCTTGATTCGACCGAATGAAATTGAATGATGAACAATGTCAAATACATACATCCAAACATCCAAGATTTAGTGAGCAGATAACCTCGACCCTATAACCAAAAATATTTTGGTGTCCACCGTGATGCCCGAGGAATTAGAAGACAACCCAATGATGACCACCAAGAACATGAGTACAATTGTGCAAGGAAAATCAAGCAACTAGCAAGATCCTTTGAAGCTTATCAAAGAGATGCAATGCTAGATGTAGGAGCTGCAAAAGAGGCACGAAGAAGAGTTAGCGACATTGAGAGTCAAGAACGCGATCACTCGCTAGGAAAAAAGGGCCAAACATTTCGTGTCGGGCGATCCTGGACCGTCGAACCTGAACAAGCAAGTGGAGGGACCAAACAAGACAGTCTAGGAGGAAGCATAGCAGCAAGCAATGGAGCTCCTTTGGTACAAATGGTCCATACGGTCGACCTGCTACCATTTACCCAAGCTATCATGGAGACACCCATGCCCGAGCGATGGACGCCTCCAACGTTCGAGAAGTACGATGGGTCAACTGACCCGAACGAACATTTTAAGATGTTTGTCAAGTGACCCCGTGTGGTGTAGAGCCATCTCTTTATCTTTGAAAGGGGTTGCGTTGGCGTGGTTCAACTCCCTACCACCCAACTCCGTGGATAGTTTCACCGCCCACACCTTATTTGTTTGGTTGTACTAGGGATGACAACGGGTCAGATCGGGCACAGATAATGCTTACCCACAACTTAACTCGCAAAACAAAAATCCAACTCACAACCTGTTCGTTACCCGCGCTGGTACCCGCTTAAAAAATACCCGCGGATACCCTTAAAATTTTTTTAAAATATATTTTAAATATTTTTAAAATAAAATTTAAATAAAATTACAAAATATATAATATAATATAAATTAAAATTTAATTTTAATTAAATTTATCCTAACCCTCAATTTGTAAGAACAAAACTGTAAGTATAAAACTCCAAGATCATAATCGTAGAGAAAACCCAAAAGAACTACAACACCAAGAATCCCAAAAATTCCCAAACCAAAAAAGAAGATAAACTCCAGACTTGCTACAAGGTCAAGAAAAACCCCAATCCCAAAAACCTTAACCCTAAATAACGAGAAATAAACAATTTTCCCACCGTGCTAGAATAAAGATATAGAAGAAGCTTGAAGCTTCTGGATTTGCTCACTAGAAATGTAAAAGAGA